CGAGGGGGGGGGGGGGGGGGATAAGGGCAGAGGGTGGGATGGGAACTGGGTGGAGGGGAGCTATGGGGGGAAAAAAGAGGAACAACTGTAATAATCTGAACAATAAAGATTTAAAAATAAATAAAAATATAACCACATAGCCCTGGCTGGGTGGCTCAGTTGGTTGGAGCGTCTTCCTGTACACCAAAATATTGTTGCCAGTTCCATCCCTGGTCCGGGCAACCAATCAATGTTTCTCTCTCATCAAGGTTTTTTTTCTCTCTCTCTCCCTTTCTCTATCTCTTTCTCCCTTCTTCCCTCCTTCCCTTCCTCTTGGTCTAAAATCAATAAACATATCCTCAGGTGAGGATTTTTAAAAAGTAACCACATAAACAGTGTTTTACATGCCTGACTTTCCCTTCCAGGTGGTATAGCTGTATGCTGGGAAAGAAATGCAGCCTTGCGCCTCTGAAGGAAGAACTTCGGGTACAAGGGGTAAGCCCTCTTCATTACTGTTCCTGTGTATCTCCTGTTGATGGTAGTTGGAATATAGGATTTTCCTTTACACCTTAAATCTTTAAATGGGCTTTTTGTTTTGTTTTTGCTTGTTTATTTTTTAATTTTGTGGCCAAAGGGGACTTCTCATAAATTATTTAAATAAGGCCTTGTTTGACAATTGCTTTTAACAAAGAAAAAGTGGGAAAAGCAGGATGAGTATAATGTCAGATCTAAAATCCAAATATTTTAAAAAGCTGATGTTGCCTGGCTGATGTTGCTCAGTGGATTGAGCATCATCCCATGCACCAAGAGGTCACTGGTTCGATTCCCAGCAAGGGCACATGAGTGGGTTGCAGGTTTGGTCCTCAAATGAGGGCGTGCAGGAGGCAGTAGGGGGCATGCAGGAGGCAGCCAATTGATGTATCTCTCCCATCAATCTTTCTATCTCTCTTTTCCTCTTCCTCTCTAAAATAAATTTTAAAAAAATATAAAACAACCTGGTGTCTACCTGCCACATCTGACTTCTTTATAACTGCAGAAACTCAGGGCTACGTACCTTAAGAGAATTAAGTCTGGGTTATGCGTCTAGTTATCAAAAAAACACCTAGAACCAGGCGATCCTCAGTACAGTTTGTGTCCCTCTATGGTGCAATCCACATGAGTTCAGCCCCTTGCTTCTGTTTTAAAAAGCATGTGGCAAATAAGTACTACCCCTCTCATAGCCCATCCCAGTTTATGGTATTTTGGCATGAATAAGCCTTAGCAGGATGACTTTAGAGAGATCAGATGTGGGTCCAGGGGTAGAAGCCAAATTTCTGATTTCTGGTTTCTCTCTCACATTCTACTTACCCTATGTTCCCTACCACACTTTTTCTTTGTTAAAATTATAACAGCTACAAAGCAATTTTGTTTTCTTAAAATTTGATAGACGAAAGGGAGACTATATAGGTGTGTCTAGTCATTTGGTGGCTTGCTTTCTTACAAAAAGAAAACAAAAAACCATTCAAATCATTTTACCAATGCTTCTTTGAAGAGCTGTGTTTTGGAAGTTTCATATATTTGGATCTCAAGCCAGCACTATAAATTTTTTCTAATGTTTTATGGGAGGGAAAAATGCCACAACTTTGTTGAGTGATAATTTATTCATTGATTATTAGGCAGCTATGCATAATTGTTTTGGGACACAATTTCACATGAAGCAGCAGCCAGAAACATTGGTAGAATGACTTCAATTTGATAAGATGCTGGGTTTGTTGGTTTCAGGTTCCTAAAGTCACCTACACTGAATTCTGTCAAGGTCGGACAATGAGATGGGCCTTAGCTTGGAGTTTTTATGATGACGTAACAGTTCCAGTAAGTACAGAGCTTCTACAAATGCCAGCACAGGGTGGGTTGTAGTAGGTCATAAATGAACTAAATCTATGCTTTCCTGTTTTTCTTAACTTTGCTCCAAATGTTTGCATCAGAATGAAAAGTGGTTGTAAACATGACAGTCCTGTAAGGCTGACGATGGTAACTGTGGAGCCTTTTTCATGGTTTGGTGCAAGACAGTGATTCTTGCTCAGCAAACATAAATTAATTGGAAATATATATTTTAGGAATTAAAAATGCAGATAATATAACTTGTAGAAATACCTGCAGATATAATTATCCTGTTGGACATTCTTCATAAATTTAAATGGGCCCTAACTGATGTTCTCAATGGTTAGAGCGTCTGGCCCATGCACCAAAGGGCTATGGGTTCGATTCCCGGTCAAGGGCATGTACCCGGGTTGCAGGTTTAATACCTACCCCCGGTTGAGGTGTGTGCAGAAGGTAAACAATCGATGTGTCTCTCGGAGGTCGATGTTTTTGTTCTCTCTCCCTTTCCCACTCCCTTTCTCTCTCCTTCTCCCCCTCGCCCCGTCCTGCTCTCTCCCTTCCACTCTAAAAATACGTGGAAAAAATAAATATCCTCAGGTGAGGATTAACGACAACAGAAATATTTAAATAGACGTCTGTTTTCCTTTATTCACTGCTTTCCTACAGATCCTATCTCTTCAGGTTCCTGGTTGAATATAGAAATTTGCCATTTGGGGTTTGATGTGTAACACTTAGAACCCGTCACTAAAGTGATCCCTATCTTGGCTTTAAGATTTATACTAGAATATTGATCAATTTTGAATCTACATGATAGGTCACTGTCCTATTCTTTCTACTTTGTGTATGCTTGAGCACAATAGAATGTTTTACAGAGTCATTTGTTCCACAAACTTCTCCTTGTCCTATGTGCTGCTCTATGTAAAAGAAAAATACAAATTCACGAGACTGAGTCAATTCTCTGGGCTTTACCGTGAAGTTATAATAGAACAGCATCTGCCAGTGGTTCAGTGGTTGAGCATCGACCTATAAACCAGGAGGTCACGGTTTGATTCCCAGTCAGGGCATAAGCCTGGGTTGCGCGCTTGATCCCCAGTGTGGGGTGTGCAGGAAGCAATTGATCAATGACCCTCTCTCCTCATTGATGTTTCTATCTCTTTGTCCCTCTCCCTTTCTCTCTGAAGTTAATAAAAATATATATATATTTAAAAAAAGAGAGAATAGCATTTTGTTTATTCTCATATTTCCCTCATAAAGTGATTGACATTGTTTTGGGGTTTGTTTTGTTTTCATTTACCAATTCTGTCAGATTTTAATATTTTGCCATATTTGCTTCAGATTTTTTATTTAATTCTTTATTGTTGAAAGTATTACATATGTCCCCTTTTGCCCCATTGCCCTCCCTTAGCCTCCTGCCTTAAGTTTATGCGCACTTTGCTCTTTCTGTGCTCCTATTGCCCATAATATTGATGGAGGCCTGGTACCCGGTCCTTCAGGTCTCTAATCCCTTGCCCATACAGTAGGGTTGCTTCTCTCCAAAGGTGTTGGCTGCTCGTGGTATCTGAAGTCATCTTAAATGTTGCTGTCCCTGACCC